CAGCACCTTCAACACCATAAGCCATAGCAGAATTGATATTTCCTTTCATATCTCCAGCAATATCAAACCAAATAGGAATATTCCTTTGTTTGAGCATATCTGCTACTCGTTTAACAAGCTCTTGATTATTCCATTGATAACTTAACATGATATGCAAACCTTTAGGTCCTGATGATTGATTACGAGAAACTTCTAAATGGAAGTTGTCAGATAAATGATTTAGATACCATTTTCCATCAAAGAAGAATTGAGATTCATTATGAGTTGTAGTTCCAGAGTATTGAACATCGTGTTGTCCGATATAATGCTTTTTAAACTGGAATTTAAAATCTTCTTTATTTGATAAACAAGTATATTTTCCATTGATTACAAAACCACCGACTTCATCATCTCCTTGACCAACAATATATCCATTTGTCATAGCAAACATGTCAAACTTCATATCAAACTTCTTTCCCCAGTGCATATAATAACCTTGAACAAGAGTTCCATCAACAAGAGCAGCAAGATGTTGCTCGTCATCTAAAGCATCGCTGATATATGGATGCAATTGTCCTATAAGATTATCAAGTGTTTTCTCAATGTCATTTACATTCGTTATCCTCGTCCATAATGCACCAGCGCAAATGACACCAAGCCAACCACTTTGAGAATAAGGATGTTGCGCTTTTATGGGAACTATAGGAATACCAGCTTCATCCACATAAGAAAGAACATACTTTGAAATATTAGATGCTTCATATGCTTCACTCATTAATGGTATAACAACTCTTGCTTGTTCAGCTGCTATTTTTATCATTTCATGCATTCGTAATGGCGGGCAAACAGCTGGAATACCTTTAGCAACCAATTCTTCAGCTATCTTTTGAGCTAAATCATATTGACATGGACAATAGGAAATCATAACTTTACTTCCTTGTCTTCGTGAAGCTTTTGATGATAGTATTTTTTCCATTTCTCTTTCATATACCTCTGGAAGAGTCAGACGGATGAAAAATCTATTATATATATTGTTTATTTGCCAGTGTCCTTCTATTACACATGTTATTCTCCGTAAATAAATCTCTCCTCGATATATAACGGAATGTTTTCCAATATATTGCTTATGCATATTGATATCACCATAACCATCTTCAAGCTTGTATTGACCAGCAAGAGTAAAAGCTCCAACTTCATCATCTCCTTGACCAAATACTTTACCTTGTTGCAAACCCAAAAACTAATGAAAATATATAACTTAGATATTAATATATCTGTCAATTCAATTCATTAAATACCTCAAATTCCATCGGAAACTGTTGACCAAAATAATGATAAACAGCGATCACATCCCCCGATCTAGTTCCACCATAAAATAGATACTTTTCTTTGGGTTGTGGTTCATTCTTTTCATTTCTTTCAAGAATAAGATTATTAGTTTTAATTCCCATAGAAATCAAAGATTTCATAACTTCATTAAAATCAGTTGAGCAACTATTGGTTGGAGCTAAAATAGTACCTAACCAGTCTCTTGGTTGAAAACCTTCACAAATCTTAATATTTAGAATCGGTGTTTTAGTTTGATCAGCGTAATTCAATAGTTTTGACCCACTTTTGGACATTTGTAATGAGCGAGATGGAAAAACTAGAATCACAGCAGCATTTTCAATACCATTTGCAATTTTAGTATTGATGTCTTCATTTTCTCTAGGAAGATAAACTCTCAATCGTCGCTCGATGAAATGATTCTTCAGTTTTTCAGCCATTCTTACATCGAATTCATCTTTTTCTGCATAGGCAAAGAATATATGCTTCTTTTCTTGATGTGATGACGTTGCTATTTCCGACATTTTCCCAAAAACTAAAAAGAAAAATAGATCTTTTCAGTCACAGGTCTTTTTCGAACATTTTTTTCCAAAAAAACAAACATATCTTTCAGTAGAGCCACAAGTCTTCCACTTCGAGGTGTGAATATGAGTGTGAACATGACTATCATATTCTATTCACTCACACCCATGTATCGGTATATTCACCGTTATCCTAATCAATACGTATCACTTCAGAATTCCATGACTTACAAGAGAGTAACGAAAAGTCATATTTTTTTGAATATCTATGTTGTTCACCCTATATGATTGGTTTTCTGTAAAGGCATTTAATTTTCAGAAACTCATTGGATTTCATGAAAATTCATATATAACATCGTATGAATTTGATTTCCTTAATGGCAGTTTGAGATATTTTGACGTTCTTTGATCCACTTCGAGTCAATTTCAATTATTTTTGAAGCGATGACTAATACAGTTAAAGTTTGCTAGTTCTTTCTTATTGGATGATTACGGAGTGTGGAAACTCTGTAACTACATTATTAGAGTAAAAAACACACAAATCTATTTAGTTTTTGGTTTTTTCTGTTTGTATATATTTTCGTATATTGTGCAGATCATTATAAGTTCTATGAATAAAGGGGGCAAGAGCACCTCTGTACTTCAGAAGTACACAAGTACACTTGTTCTTATTTATCTATGAAAATCACTAACTGGTAGAGTGACATTCTTTGTCTATTAATAGTCTTCTGAAAATGAAATCAATTACAAGATATATTCAATTATGATGGCTAAACAAATGCATCATCTTCAATGGATAGGACGAGAACGCATAAGAATGTAAATTGGCCTATTTCCAGTTCTCCGATAAAAGTATATATATATATATATATATATTGATGCAGAATGAGGTGGAGACTCTTTTGATATCAAATTCAAACCATTTGGGTAGTGTTCTAATCGATTCCGACACGTATAACTGGATCCTACTTTTACCCGATTTTATCCCGCTCGCTACGGATGTATTTTAACCATATCTTAGTCAAAATATTTAAGAACCTTACTATAAATAGTCTTATTTGTAAGAGTGAATCGTGCGAAACAAATTCATATATGAATCATCTAGAAATAGTACACGAAAAATTAACTCATCGCGAACAAATAGTGTTTGTATGTGTATTTTAGGTATATCATACAGCCTTAACCTTCATGATGGTCTCAAAAGTGCTTGAAAAAAGTATTGATAATAACATTTCTTATTAGGGGTTCCATGTAGATTTTTCTCGGGCTACATGCTTGTATAACTTCCTTTTCTTGATTTTATTGTCCAAAATTTTCCGAAGATGAATACAGCCTAATGAAGCATAGAAGCCCTATGGAAGTGAAGGAGGAACCCTCAAGATGAAATTACTATTTAAGGTGGTATATGCGCTTTAGAAATTTTGGCCAGTAAAATGAAGAAAAGAAGTATATATCATTATGTAGCCTGCAAAGATCTCCATCGAATCCTCAATGATAAATTCTATCACCAAGACTGTTTTCAAGCATTTTGAAGCCATGATGAAGTCTAAAACGCATATGTCAACTATTTTAAGTCGTATTCGACTACGAAAATTTTAGGCCAGAAAAATCAAGGAAAGGGGATTGATTATACGAGCGTGCAGCCTGGAAAAAATACATAGAACGCTTAACTAGAAACACTGTTATCAAGAATTTTTTTCAAACGCTTTTGCGACAGTTATTCTTAATCCTAGTAGAATGAGTATAGCAAACGTAAATTGCTGATAGGTTTGTTCGGCATCTGAATGGTCAGAAAAATTGAACAACATAATTTTAGCATAGTGAAAACTTACATTATCATATGTTTTCTTATTAGGGCTTTAGTCAATAAAGTATTTCCATACCGAAAACTGGTCGAATAAGCCATTTCCTCAAAATCGACTCAAGATTTTCGTCTATGACGAGCCTAAATCTGAGATCCATTTTTCTCGAAATCCCATTGATTGATCAAGAACCAACAGAAATCGAATTTTTAAGAAAATCATTCTCTGGAGGTATAGATATGGGTGTGTAGATGTCACCAATAGTTACACGTCAATCACACCTACACACCCTTATAATATTCATCCATCAGACTATGGGTAAATATTCTATCATGCGCAGTTCAGGTGAATAGGAAATAAGCATGTGCATGGGTCTATTTTCAATGTTGAACTTCTTACTACACAACGACTATGTCTTCTATCAGTGCTTTCAGCCGAGTGGAAAATACTCTTTCTAGTATCATAGATTCATCTAATAAGTTACCTATTCAAAATCAGATAATAAAAGTCAACTATACGTAGTGAATTCGACCTATGGCTTCTTCCAATTTGATCGGATGTTGTGTATGTGAGACAAGTTTCTTGTTTTTCGAATAAATTGTTTGTGCCTCATGGCAGCATTCAGTAGAACATTCAAGGTAACAGTTTATAAGACAAAATAATGTGCACAAGAGAAAATACAATTATGTTTATGATTTCTCTATTATGTACATGAGTCGATAGCATTAAAAGAATAGATAACAACCAAAAAAAAAACAAAACTGTATTGAATTAGTACAAGAAAACCTCACCATTGACAGTTAGCAAAGGATATGATAACCTATTCTATAATTGGATTCGTATTTTATTTCATTCTTGAATAGTTGAAACTCAGACGATTTTTGTGTAAATGAATTTAAAAATGTAACACCATGTTCAAGATAATTACTAGCTCTCAAATATGAGACGTAAGCGAGAAGAGTTGACATTATTTTTAAAAGGGTGTGGATTTTGATGGCCAGATAACTCATACCCACATCCACATCCACACTCAACACCACTTCCGACGAATACTCACAAAGGAATTTTTTCGCAATACACATCAAGAAAAGCGAACTTAAGCCTTCTTACTAGTTTGATTTCGACGTGTGGATGCCGGTGTGAATGCTAGTGTCCGAGTAGATTGGGTTTTGATATGGGATGTCTGTGAGTGTGAGTATGTGTGTCTATGTGCGTGAGTGTCCGAGTGTGAATATGTGCGTGTCTGTGCAGTAACTGGGTGTGTGATTAAAGAGTAGATCGATACCCAACTAGTGCCATAAAATGAAAACTGTCCCCATCTGCAAGCACAAACCTATGGCTACACGTACACAGGCCACACTTATCGAATGTAATCGGTTATTTCCCAAACGCAAAAAAAAGAAAAGTCATAAATGTTTTTTCCTTTGCATGGAGAAAATCAGTGAAAAATGAAAGAGGAGAATCTTCGAACGAACTTTGGTTCTTTACGAAGTCTACTTTTTGAATAAGCTCTTTTCTCATAAATGTGCGTAGATAAATATTGGCTCTTTCAGCTCACACATAGACAAACTTAGTTAGCTAATTAGTGAATTAATAGAAATGTACATAACGAATAACTCTATAATTTCATGACAAGTTTAAGAATTTTACAATAGACTTCAAGAAATAGCCTAGATCTATAGTAAAATTTTCAGCTATATTCGTCTCTAAAAAGTTGCATCCCAAAAATCTCATCTGGTTTTGGCACAAAATGGTTTCTTTTTTGTAATGATCTCGTAATTCTCAAGATGGTACCGTATCAATTATATTTGATTCTTGAACTTCTATTCCAGTTGCCAGGAGATTTTTCATTTCTCTATTGAAACTCACGCATGTAGCTAATAATAGATAGACTCTACGTTTTGGAACTGTAATATGTTCAAGAAACAGTTTGTGTAGAGATTTTGTAGTCCGAAGAGCCCTCTAAAAGACACACTTTTTAGCAAAGGGAAACGAACTGATTTCAATTTCTGAAATCAAGTTGAAATCACATGAAACAATGAGGAAAAAGTAGATTTTCGGGTGCAAAATCTCTGACAACTTATAGAATCTTTTGGAACCGTTTATAATCTTGTGAAATCTTAAAGCAAGGCGTTTTACAATTAGAGCTGTACAGGTCAACCGCGTGAGAGCTCATCGGCCTGAACTGTACATCCCCAGTATCGAGCGATTAGATTCGAGGAAGCTATTTGTTTCCTATTATAAGGATAAAGCATATGTTTGTTCGTGTCATATGAACGAGGGCGCCGGATAACTCTAAAATTGCCCCGAACATCCCTGTTTTCTCCTTACAATAACCAAGAAATAGCTTTCTTGAATCTCATTGCTCAATTGTCAACCAATCAGATTAAAGTATGTTTTTTGTCACTATCATTAGAACAAAACGTGAGTTTGTTCGGGCCAATCTAAGGGTTATTCAGGATTCTCTTTCATATGACCCGAACAACCATATGTTTTCTCCTCACAATAGCTGAGAAACAGTTTGAAAGTGGAGTTCACACTTATGAGAGCTTTCCAGGCTTAACCGGAAAATCCTAATAAAGACAAACCAAAACAGATTATTTCTGATCAAGTGGGAAAAGAGATGTTGACATTTATGATTTCTAAAATCTTTCAAACGCTTTCGAAATCGTTTGAACTCTAAAAATCTTGAAATCTTCTTGTTCCCCGTGGCACGAAATCATTTTAAATCACGCGAAAATACTTGAAATCACTTGAAATCAGTTTATTCTTTCTTTCTATTTAGCTTTCAAAAATATTATATGAATTTGGAGGATTACTAAATAATAATGCATACAGTAGAGACTTTTGTCCTATACTTTCGGGTTACGTTCGTAACGCTCTCTTTTTAATAATAACTTGGCACACCTAAGGTCTATAGGACTGAGTTTTTCAAGGTGGCTAGAGTAACTCAACGTGGTCTGTTACAAAACGAGCATTTTCATTTTCGAAATCAAGTTGTTAAAGAATCAAACAGTTCATATATGCCCTCGTCTACATTTATTCGTCTCTTTTTTTTTTACGAGTAACTCCTTACTTACTAATAGAAAAAAAAATACAAAATGGAAGAAACCAAAGCTTCGTTTCATTTTTACTATTAATTGCAAGAATAAGAGAGAAAACGAGAGAAACGAAAAAATAAACAACTGACATACTTCAATTTCTCTCAACATCTAAGCAACGCTTCTGATCGATCATACATACAATCTCATCAGAATAGTAATGAAAAAAGTGTCCATTAGCAACGACGTTATTCTACCAGGTGAAACCTTTTTACTTGAGAGTCCATAAAACTTTAACTTCAATATATAATCAACGGTGAAAAATAAGAAGTTATTTTTCAAGCATTCTTCAGATGTAATTTACGTTTGATCTTACATAGTCAATTCATTAACATTCTTTCTTGCGTAAAAAAAACCTCATAAAGCATGCTCCAAAATAGTAAAAAAAAAGTAACACAATATCTATTCTTATTAAAGAGAAAAAAAGAATTTAAAATAGGAATCTACTTTCCAGACACCCTGTATATATATACATATATATATATTCAGAGAGTCAGTGTGTGTCCGCGCTGGTAGCTATTTGCTCCTGGGTGATTGAATTAATGACAGTCAGGATATAGGTGTGGGTGTGGATGTGCAATGGGCGGGTGTGAGATGTGTGCGTGTAGGTGTGACTGTAGATGTTGGTGTAGGTAGTTGTGAGTGTGGGTATCAGGTATAGGCGAAGTAGAGGCGTCAACACTCGCATCCACACTCACCAACCTACCCAAACCCACATATCCATCCATACTCACCCACACTGATACTCACACATACATACCCACACCCGGTTTCCTGCGCCATCACAACGTTTACGGCGATTAGAACTTGTTATTGTCAGCTGTGTAGAACGTCGATTTCTCAATGCTAATCTATGGGTAAAAATTTATTACTGAATATTTATCAAAATTCAAGTCGTTTGATATTAAATTCTCTTCTAGAGACATTAGCCGAAAAGTACTTGCTCGATTTCGTTCTCCATTTTGGCTTTACAAAAATTGGTTTGTTGCTTATGATTCAAGTGGTTCCATTTTTTACTGTACCTTATTTTGCTCCGACTTCAATTAATGATTCATCTGCTCCAGTACCATCTAATTGTACTACATTACTTGCTGAACAACATATCGTCTTTTATGATCGTATTACTCAATTAATATTTGAATCAAATCGATGGCAATTACCATATCGTTAAAATCATGTTGAAGAACTTATTTTTAATGATCCTTATATACTGATCTATCAAAAGTACAATCATTAACTGTGAATACATCTGATTGGTCGTTCTACAAGATTGCAACATTGATTAAAGAAGCGATGTCTTCTGTCAATTATCTTTGTCTAAATTGTATTCATCCTAAACTACAAAACAAAAATTTTCCTGATATTTCATTATCACAAATTCGAATATTATGCTTACCTCAATATGGACAATTCACAGAAAATGATACATTCAATTGGTCAAGACTTTTTCCATGTGTCGAACGATTAATTCGAAAAGTCAAATTTCATTAATAATTAATCATTTCAAGAATATGATCAGTGGTTTCTTTTTTATTGATCACTCTCAGGTTGATATGAATAACTAAATTCAAATTACGCATCAATAATTACAGAAATATATTTATTGTTTAAAAGGCAAAAATAGAAATAATTTTATATGTCAAATTAATGATCGGTACCTCTTTTCATTGTGTTTATGGATTGATGAAAACGATCAAGTACATACCTGAAAATTTGTATTCAATATATCTTCATAAATATGATTTTTATCTTGTCGTAGTCATTGACGGTGTCAACATTTTCCATGGAATTCAACGAAATAGACTAAACGATTCCATTTGTAAACTCATCTTCTTGTTTTATTGATTTAGATTTATTGAAAATAAAACATTTATATTTAAATTTAATTCATTCGGGTTTTCGTTTTTATCGATATTCCTCATTATCAATTAATAGGATGGTATTACATAAACATACTTTCTTGAGATGAACGAAAAACAAACACTATTGATACAGAGTGGATGGATGGGATTTGAATTATTTAATGAGTCACTAATGTTAAATCAAAAAACGACATAAATTTGCCTTTATCATAATCATTTAATACAAAGGAATATCGAATTTGCTAGGATATTTTCCATGAACTATTATTTGATAATAAACATTGATGTGTCACTTTGTGCTATTGAAATAAATCGAAATTCCATTAATTGATATCTAATATTATGTCAAATTTTAACATATGAGCAATCTCAAATTTCTTAATGAATTGTTTTTACACAGAAAGATTTAAGAGTGAAACGGAAATATGGAAATTTCACATCTCTATACCTTTCAAAAACATATATTCAGGATGACTAAGAATACAAAAAAAAAAGAAACAAACATCGAACGTAAAGTATCAGGACAGAAATATTGATCTCATAAATTACTCATTATGCAATTCATAAAAATGTTCGCTGATTTGATGATGGTGTATTAGAACTTCTCTTATGATAAGTGTATTGACAATCTAATATCGATGGATATCTACATGTATTGCTATCACGACAGTTGTACGACAAACGGCTATGACCATAACTTCCATGTCTACTAAAAAAATAAAAAAATTATGGAGAAATAATCTCTCTATAGGAAATAATTTTGAAACAAAGCCGAAAAATAGATAGACATTAATACGAATTGCAGGATGAAAGAATCAAATGTCTAGATATTGATAAATAATCGATAAAAGATTATCCTCAAACACTAATTTCTTCAATTGAAGGAAATAATAAAGTAGTAAGACGTAATGATTCATCAATATGAAAAAAAAAGTTTTGGATAGAAATCTACAACATGAAGAAACATACCATGTAAAGTTATCGAAAACTATTGCTCAAAGAGAAAATCAAATCAACTCAGTCAGATCTATAATCAATTAGATATATCATATAGATTTGCACTGAAAAATCCAATAAACCATTTTGTTTAATTGTTGTCATACCTTTTTGGCCATTTTCTCTAAAAATTTTTCTAAAGCTTTTAAATCATTCTATGGTCGAACTATTAGTTGTAAATATAATGTGATGAGAATATGCATGCTCAGTTGTCAATAGTAATCGAAGTTTTTTTTCTTTTGTTTTTTTACTTTTTTGTACTCTTTTAAACTTTTCGTGTTTGATGGACCTTCCATTCCATGTAGGAACACTTTAGCCGGGCGATGTAACACGGAAGTGAAATTTTGAATGAAAAAGATAAAAATTTTAAAATTGATCATGAAGAATAAAATATTAATCAATGGTTACTAGTTAATATAGTTACACTTGATCTACCTCTTGCTATAGTAGATTCAAGATACAATTACAGACATTTATATTCCGTAAAGATAGTGCATTTGTAAACGGTCATTTGTTCAAGAGGTGTGATTAGCAGCTTTATTCATTTCCTCCTTATTTTTGCTTTCATGAACATGTGTAACAAGAGGAAAAACATGATTGTTCTTCGATAAAGAATCTAAGAGGATAATTACTTAATTTTATGGGAAGAGTATGAGTTTGAATCTTCACTTCACCTGTACTCCGAACTTCTTTTATCAATAAAATGAAAATTATTAGATGATAAGACATTTTAAATACTATCAAACGATACCACAAAGTAAATATTGTCTATGGGAAAAAAGAGCCTTTGATAATTCTTATAACTCTTAAGAAAATGAGGGTGAGGGTGTGGGTGTGGGTGTGGGTTCTGTTGAAGAAAAGATCCATCCTACACCCACACTCCACACCCAAGAATAGTGCTCTCATTATTTGGTTTTTTTTCTCGTATAGAAGGCTCGAAGGAATTTTCGTTTTTTTTTTGTTCAATGCTAAAGAAAACGATGCTTCACTTTTGTATGTTATTTGATCGCTCTTCAATAAATATCATCGTAATGTAATCACGGTAAGAAGTGTTTTTATGTAACATTTGACTAATCACTCACATATATTCTTGTTTTTTTTCGTTCTTCGTTTCTCTTTAGATGCACAATCGGCTATACATACATGGATAACAAAGCTCATTATTTTCAACTCGTTTTCGTATTTCTTTTTGTATACTCTAACATGTATGTATGAATGGATAGACATCAGATGAAATAAGAGGAGGAAAGAACGAAAAAATGAATACAGGTGATTGATATGATCAGAGAGCACAACATCATTTTCTTTATTATTACATAAAAAGAAAGAAGATTTCTTCGAGCTTTCATAAGACTATTGTTTTTCGACTGTCCGAATTCACCATTCGAGTCGCACTCGATAGATTTCGAAGCTTCAAAATAATCTCTCAGTAAATATGTGCTGCAACAACAAAATCATTGTATCATTCATAAAAATCGAACAAAATCACGAAAAGAAAAAAGAAAGCAAGTCACGAACAGGTATCCTTGATGCAATTTTTTTTTGACAGAACAGAAAAAAAAGAAAGCGACATGTGTGCATACATACATGCATATATGTCATTTGCGTCCCTTATAAGCACACTGCAGGTTTGTTGCTCTTGCTGTTTATGTAACGAGGCAAAAATTGTCTTATTAGAAAACATTCTGAATAGAACTATTGAGAGTAGAAAAAGCCGCCTATGGGCAGAGCATTTGCAGGAACTCGCATATCTATGATGTATCGTTAAGTGTGTTCATGAGTATCGATCGCAATGACTGATTATTGATTTGATTTCTATCGTATAGGAAAATGGGTCAACAATTATCCCATGTTAATGAAAAACTCCTTTCGATGACCAATAATGATTCCACTCAGCTTACATCCGATGCTATTATCGCTGACAGTGGTAAAGACGATATTCTAACATTATTAAATGTTCGAAATCCACTTGAATCTAATGGTAGTAATCCAATACCGGTTTCGGAAAGGTTTCATACAAAACAAATCCAAACTCATCTATTTCAACTAACGAATTCAGTCGAACATAAAGCAATCAATCTTGAAATATACGACATACTTTTCGAAAATGTTTTTAAAAATGATCTTGCTAGTCATTCTCAAAAGACGATCAACGAAGTTGAAGCTATACTTAACCAACAACAGAAATTACAAACCGCTTTAATGAAGAAAATTCAGGAGGAAAAAAATGCTAATCAATCAATATTCAATAAGGACAAAGCTGAACGTCAAGCTCAACAGTTATCTTATTTTGCCATACAATCGTTGACATCCATACTATTAATTCTCATCAAATCAGCAGAAAAACATGATCCAACTATTGTTCAACAAATATTGACATTAGCCAGTCAACTGTGTGAACAAATGCCGATGAAATGTTTATCATTCGCAACTAACGGCACTTTTCTCGTCAAATCCTTGAAGCCATTGACAACTTACATTAGTGATCTATCATCACAGGAAGATCCAAGTATCAAAAAGCAAGTGACAAAAATCCTTCTATGTTTTGGAATTGCAAAGGATTCACTCAAAGATATTTTACCAATCGTGAGTAAATTAATATTTCAAATGGATGATGTTTATGATGCCAGAGGTCTACTAATGCAACTAAACAATGATCTTGCAGACACAATCAACGAATTAGAAACGAAAAAGAAATCCGCGGAAAATCAAACCAAAGATGACTCTGATACAGCATGTGAACAACCAGATGAGCATATGATATCGATTCCGTTGGATTATTTGAAATCCATTCAAGTTTTTCCAACAGCTCAACTGATGGAATTAGATGAAGAGAAATTCATTGGACATTTCCTTGCATCCGTCATTTTGGCGCATATCGATTTCGATCATGCAATGCATTCCAACGAACAATTCAATAATTCTTCTGTCAATAGTTCACTGTTTTTCGAATTTCATCATGATACATTTCAACAACTGTTTTATCTGATCAAACAATTGACAGCAATCTCCGTAGAACAATCAAGTACAACTGTCGATTACATGTTAACCGTATGTTTAAGATTATTCACCACACATTTGAAGTTCTTATGTGCAATCAAATCGACTATCGATCGAGATATATTAACAACAAACAATATTATCAAAGATAACTTGAAATCTTCTCCTCCGTCCCAAAAAAATCTCGATCTGACAAGATTTGCAACCGATACAGAATTAGAACAATGGTTTGAACTCTTGTTAAAACTCGCTTATTTGAACAGTCAGAATTCCAGAAACATCGTCATGTCCAAAGAAGCATCAAAAGGTCTTCTCTTTCTTTTCGACATAAAAACATCATTTACCGATAAACTCTCATTCATTCATCGAGTTATTATCGAAAACAGACATCCTGTTCTCATCGAATATCTATGGCTGGAATTATCAAAAACAATAACATTGCTTAGTTGGATCGAAGCGCTCTCTCATGAAGAAAATCGATCAGAAGACGGACCAGCCTTAACAATCTTATATTCATTCATCGATATGTATTTCAACCCCCCCGTACATTTTACTGATGAAAACAAGCAACGAACGAAAGACATACTACATATGTTCCAAAGACTTTTACTCTTGCGTTTAGGACTAGTATTCGACAAGAAACCAGAACATCCACTGATGACTAATAATGATACAAGTAAAGGATATGGATTAACTACTTCGACTACATCTTCTGTCGTTGTTAAATATCTTGTTCGAATTTTGAATAGTTGTATCGAAAACGAGCAGGTTATTTCGGATATATTCAATGACATTCTTGTTGGTTTGTACTTAATGACAGAACAAGAAGCGGGATTAGCTTTCCTTTCCGTTGAGCCGATATTCATCAAATTATTACCATTATTGGGTAATTATATAGTACGGAATAGAACAAATGATGATCATGCAAAAACTCATTTACATTTTCTTTCATGGTTATTAGGTCGAATGAGTTCTCTTCTAATTGCTGGTCCACCGAAGGACACATTGGAAACAAAACATGCCAATAGATTAGATTCACTTTTGTTTATGAATGGATGTGAACCAACGGTAACTGAAAATAGTCAGTATCTAATGGATCTATTCAAATCCGATTTAGCCGTTTACAGTCATTTTAAATGGAATCAACAACGACAACAGTCATCATCGGACGATGAATTTCTTATGTCAGTCTATTACAATCAAGGTCAAGGTGCTAAACTGATATCGAAAATGAAAATTCACCTGAAAAATAAACAGCGTTTCTTGCAAAAATCTATCGAACAATTTGTTAATGATGCCTGTGCAGTTCTCTTTGCTGTCTACATCAAACACTATCGTCGAATTCATCTAGCTAAATCCGAATTATTTCGACCAGATCACGATAAACCACACGATAAACTTTCATCGATCTATGAATATGCTAATCGTGTACAGACGATCTTCATCAAAACAAAAGCACAAGGTGGTGATTGTGATAATTTGTTCAAACAGATCAAAAACAATGCATTATTTCTTCTGTTATCTGTTAAGGAGAATAGTTTAATTCCGATTGTTAATGAAAATTTGCCACCAGCAGAACCGAATACACCGAATTTATTAAGTGTAGAACAAAATCGAATGTCAAGATTCAAACGTCAAGAATCACGATGGACAAAAGCAAAGAATATTATTCGATTACTTCGAAATTCCATGCATGCTTGTATTCGATTGAAAAAATTGATGATATCAAAGAAGCAAAGTATTGAACAAGAACATGATCCAGAAAGTGTTCTCAATCGTCTTATTAATGGGTATGTTTATGAAGATGCGTACGGAAATACAATATCAATTGGAAATGAAGACAAGAAACGAGAATCCAATGAACTCATTCAATGTCTCTACCGACAATATGAACGAGCAATGACAAGACTCATCACATATCGATTTATCGAAACATTTATTCCGAAAGTCTTCAGTATCGACGATCACAGTCGAGCACTGTCTATACTCGCTATTTATTTACCTCATATGAGACATATCGATCTAGTGGAATGGACCTACGCAGAAAATATACAAGCATCCAACAGTGAATTGAAAGATGCTATTGCCAATAGTTATTATTCGTGTATTCATATGATTCTATCTCATCTATTACAATCAACAACAACAGCCGAATCAACCATCTTAATACCATCTATATTTCGTCTATTGAATCTATCCTATCGATCAATCGATGTTTGTTACCTAGATCGTTATCAATTGATTCAAACATTATGTAAATCCTATATGAATTTCATTGAAAAATCAGATCCGTTGCTTTCATTGAAATCAAAACTGTCCGGATACACTTGGTTCCGATTATTTGTTTATAAACTTTGTGACAATATTCGAGAAGAACAAGCACATGGAATGGCAAATCCTCTGCTATGCCAACAACGAGATTTCGTCTTTCAATCAATCATCTTTGGCCAATTGAAAGAATTAAAACGATTGAAGCAAACATTGTCCACTGCTGTGGCAGAGCCACTTGTTGATTCGAACGAAGAAAAATATGATTCTCTTAGTAATACTACTATTGGATGGTTCATTAAACACATATGATGGGGAATATGAATTTGCGGCAAAATCACTGTCCCGAAAAAACAAACAATTTGTCGCAAACTCAATTATGCACATATACTATAGAGGTATAGAGGTATAGAGGTATAGTGGTATAGAGGTATAGAGGTATAGAGGTATAGAGGTATAGAG